AGATGCCCAAGAGAGACTGCCTTCCTCTGAATATAACTAAATCACATTCTGACAACTCCTGATGTCATTTATAGACCAGTCCTTTCCACTCCAGAACCTTTATCAACATCTAACTGCAAAGAAATAGAGGAAAACAACAGAATGGGAAAGAATAGAGATCTCTTCAAGAAAATTAGAGATGCCAAAGGAATATTTCATGCAAAGATGGGCTCAATAAAGGACAGAAATGGTATGGACCTAACAGAAGCAGAAGATATTAAGAAGAGGCGGCAAGAATACACAGAAGAACTGTACAAAAAACATCTTCATGACCCAGATAATCACAGTGGTGTGATCACTCACCTAGAGCCAGACATCCTGGGATGTGAAGTCAAGTGGGCCTTAGAAAGCATCACTACGAACAAAGCTAGTGGAGGTGTTGGAATTCCAGCTGAGCTATTTCAAATCCTAAAAGATGATGCTGTGAAAGTGCTGCACTCAATATGCCAGCAAATTTGGAAAACTCAGCAGTGGCCACAGGACTGGAAAAGGTCAGTTTTCATTCCAGTCCCAAAGAAAGGCAATCCCAAAGAAGCCCAAACTACCACACAATTGCACTCATCTCACACACTAGTAAAGTAATGCTCAAAATTCTCCAAGCCAGGCTTCAGCAATATGTGAATCATGAACTTCCAGATGTTCAAGCTGGATTTAGAAAAGGCAGAGGAACCAGAGATCAAATTGCCAACCTCCGCTGGATCATCGAAAAAGCAAGTGAGTTCCAGAAAAACATCTATTTTTGCTTTATTGACTATGCCAAAGTCTTTGACTGTGTGGATCACAATAAAGTGTGGAAAATTCTGAAAGAGATGGGAATACCAGACCACCTGACCTGCCTCTTGAGAAACCTGTATGCAGGTCAGGAAGCAACAGTTAGAACTGGACATGGAACAACAGACTGGTTCCAAATAGGGAAAGGAGTATGTCAAGGCTGTATATTGTCACCCTGCTTATTTAAATTATATGCAGAATACATCATGAGAAACGCTGGGCTGGATGAAGTACAAGCTGGAATCAAGATTGCCAGGAGAAATATCAATAACCTCAAGATAAGCAGATGATACCACTGTTATGGCAGAAAGCGAAGAAGAACTAAAAAGCCTCTTGATGAAAGTGAAAAAAGAGAGTGAAAAAGTTGGCTTAAAACTCAACATTCAAAAAACTAAGATCATGGCATCCGGTCCCATCACTTCATGGCAAATAGATGGGGATACAATGGAAACAGTGACAGACTTTATTTCTGGGGGCTTCAAAATCACTGCAGATGGTGATCGCAGCCATGAAATTAAAAGACGCTTACTCCTTGGAAGGAGAGTTATGTCCAACCTAGATAGCATATTAAAAAGCAGAGACATTACTTTGTCAACAAAGGTCCGTCTAGTCAAGGATATGGTTTTTCCAGTGGTCATGTATGGATGTGAGTGTTGGACTATAAAGAAAGCTGAGCACTGAAGAATTGATGCTTTTGAACTGTGGTGTTGGAGAAGACTCTTGAGAGTCCCTTGGACTGCAAGGAGATCTCAGCAGTCCATCCTAAAGGAGATAAGTCCCGGGTGATCACTGATCACCCAGGACTGATGCTGAAGCTGAAACTCCAATACTTTGGCCACCTCATGTGAAGAGTTGACTCATTGGAGAAGACCCTGATGCTGGGAGGGAATGGGGACAGGAGAAGGGGACGACAGAGGATGAGATGGCTGGATGGCATCACCGATGGACATGAGTTTGAGTAGACTCCGGGAGTTGGTGATGGACAGGGAGGCCTGGCGTGCTGCGATTCATGGGGTCGCAGAGAGTCAGACACGACTAAGCGACTGAACTGAACTGAACTGCAAAGAAGGATAAGAGAAGTAAAGACAGCACTTTCTTGACTGAAAAGAATGGGACCACAAGTTCCAATTTAGGAATACAAGGAAAAAGAGGGACTGGGGAAGGGATGCCCACAAATGATGGTAACACTTGACAATATGTAGCAAGAGTCTTCAAATAACCATATCATTTGGTTCAGGCACTCTACTTTTAAGGATAAAACTAAACAAGATAAATAAGACCTGTGTAAGTAAATGATATACCTTTTTCATAGATATGCAAATATTCCCATTTTACAGATGAATAAACTGGCCATGGAGAGGTTAAATAACTAGTTCAAGGCCATACAACTAGCAAGAGGTGAAAACATGATTCAAAACAATTGGGGTCCAGAGGCCATGCTCTTTACCACTCTGCTCTCCTACCTGTCCCCTGCATTTCCATAGTTCCAAGCCACTATTAAAACTGTAAAGGAGGAAATGAAAAAGAATTTCTTTATGCCTCTTATGTTTACAACAAAAATACTGAACCCAAAGGAAGTTGATGAGACTTCTGAATATTAAATTGTTAAACATTCACTAAAATTCAGTTTAAGAAAACTGGAGGTAGAGCGCCCTCAAGCAGCAGTGGTTGATGTGGTGTCTGGCTGCATTTCCATATGCAATCAGCCCCCTCAGCTCTGACCCTCACTCTAGCATAATAAATCCACACAGCCTCTTCGCTTTGACCTCTTAGTCTTCCCAAAGATTTTACAAACCTTATAGTCAGAAATGTCACAGAGAAAGTGACCTCCTGCTTAAGAGGTTCAATTTCAAACAGAAAAGATAGGAATCCTTTTCTGATAACCAGTATTTGTTTTTGATTAAAAAAAAAACCCACTGTATTTCTCAGCATTCTCCAGAGAAACAGAACCAACAGGATATAAGAATCTCTCTCTCTCTTTCAATCTATACACATATATATTGGCCAGGGCTTCTCTGGTGGCTCAGACGGTAAAGAATCTTCCTACAATGACCCAGGTTCTATCCCTGGGTTGGGAAGATTCCCCTGGAAAGGGAATAGCAACCCACTCCAGTATTCTTAACTGGAGAATTCCATGAACAGAAGAGCCTGGCAGGCTACAGTCCATGGGGTTGCAAAGAGTTGGACATAACTGAGTGACTGACACTTTCATGTATATTGGCTGCACGACTGTGGGGACTGGCGAGTCTAAAATATGCTGGGCAGGCTGGCAGACTGGGGATCCAGGAAGAGGCTGACACTGCAGCTTCAAGTCTGAAGGCTGTTTGCAGGCTGACTTCCCTTCTTCTGCTGCAGATCTTGGTCTTTTCTCTTAAGGTCTTCGACTGATAGGAAAAGGCTCACCCACATTATGAAAGATAATCTCCTTTACTCCAAATCTACTATTTAAATGTTCAGTTCAGTTCAGTCGCCCAGTGATGTCCAACCCTTTGAGACCCCATGGAGGGCAGCATGCCAGGCTCCCCTGTCCATCACCAACTTCTGGAGCTTGCTTAAACTCATGTCCATCAAGTCTGCAATGCCATCCAACCATCTCATCCTCTGTTGTCCCCTTCTCCTCCCACCTTCAATCTGTCCCATCATCAGGTGGCCAAAGTATTGGAGTTTCAGCTTCAGCATCAGTCCTTTCAATGAATATTCAGGACTGATTTCCTTTAGGATGGACTGGTTGGATCTCCTTGCAGTCCAAGGGATTCTCAAGAGTCTTCTCCAACACCACAGTTCAAAAGCATTAATTCTTCTGCGCTCAGCTTTCTTTATAATCCAACTCTCATATCCATACATGACTACTGGAAAAACTGTAACTTTGACTAGATGACAAACCATAGTTTTGTCTGCAAGGTAATGTCTCTGCTTTTTAATATGCTGTGTAGGTTGGTCATAACTTTTCTTCCAAGGAGCAAGCGTCTTTTAATTTCATGGCTGTAGTCACCATCTGCAGTGATTTTTGGAGCCCAAGAAAATAAAGTCTCTCACTGTTTCCATTGTTTCTCCATCTATTTGCCACGAAGTGATGGGACCAGATGCCATGATCTTAGTTTTTTGAATGTTGAGTTTTAAGCCACCTTTTTCACTCTTCTCTTTCATTTTTATCAAGAGGTTCTTCAGTTCCTCTTTGCTTTCTGCCATAAGAGTGGTGTCATCTGCATATCTGAGGTTATTGATATTTCTCCCAATAATCTTGATTCCAGTTTGTGCTTCCTCCAACCTGGCATTTTGCAGGGTGACAATATACAGCCTTGATGTACTCTTTTCCCAATTTGGAAACAGTCTGTTGTTCCAATCTGGTTCTAACTGTTGCTTCTTGACATGCATACAGATTTCTCAGGAGGCAGGTCAGGTGGTCTGGTATTCCCATCTCTTGAAGAATTTCCCACAGTTTATTGTGATCCACACAATCAAAGGCTTTGGCGTAGTCAATAAAGCTGGATACCATGGCCTAACAAGTTGGGTACATAAAATTAACCATCACAACCATCAACATTCTTCATTATGCCAGTCATTAAAGCTATGATTCATTCAGCTAGTAGGAAGAGACATACTTTTAAATTTCTCCCAGAAAGAAATCAAACCAGTCCTTCTTCACATTGTGTAAGACTTCTGTGTGCTAAAATCCATATCAAGTTGGCCTTGATATGGCCAGTTTCTTCCTCGGCCTACACTTTACCCAGTAGTACTTGATGCTGTTTTTCAATATCATCATGATGGCTTTTAGTCTCTTTGACTACACATTTCCAAGGAGGCAACACAGCATAAGGTGCTATCACATTCCATGAACATGATATCTCTCATCAATTAAATTATCCCAGTTGCTTTGATACAGATAAGTAATTGCAGTCCTTTTGTTTATAAATCTGCGTCTTGGATTAAACATTCATGGTATCCATACAGTGAAGAAAAACAGAGAAGTATTCCACCCCTAATGAAAGTTTAATCATGATCTGATGGCAAGGTCTTACAAAAAGCCCAGAGTTGCAACTGTGGGGTGTGATCTCCTCATTGGTCAAAAGGTAGGGACAGCACACACGTCACCTGGGCATCTTTGCCAGCCAACTCATTTCACTGCCAACCTGCTCTCTCTCCCATTTGAACAACTTCCTTCTTCCAATTCTCTACATTATCTAATAGTCATGGAGCTCTCAGATGAGGCACAAAAATCCCAAGGGCTGGATTTAGAGGAGATAACCAGAAAGATTTTATTTCTTGACAAATGGAGGGAAATCTTTAGTTATCACCGGTAAGATGCTCTCATTTTCTCAATCCTCTAGAACCAAAGGGATTTCTTGTTTTAAATTCTGTATATTTATTTTCGGTCTTTTGGGGGGTCTTCCTTGTAGGCTGCTCTCTCGTTGTGGTGCGCAGGCTTCTCATTGCAGAGACTTCACTCGTTGCAGGGCAGGGCCTGTATGGCTCCTGGGCTTCAGAGCACAGGCTCAACAGTTTGGGCGCACGGCTCCAAGGCAGGCAGAATCTTCCTGGAGGCGGGGATGGAACCCCTGTCTCCTGCACTGGCAGGCGGATTCTTTACCACTGAGCCACCGGGGAAGCCCCCCTAGAACCAGGGGGATTTTATGTGGCTAAACAGCCAGCTTTTACGCTTGCTATGTGAGAAGTCTCCATTACAGATTTACATTTAAAATGCTTCAGGTATAACTGTTTGCAGAAAAAGCATCCCAAGCAAAGTGGAGGTTGAGGAGGTTTGAGGGAATGAGGGTTGAATAGAGTGAGTAATTTTCTTGATGTTTTCTCTTTCATTTATAGGTTGGGAACCAATAATACAACTTCTCAGGTAATTACTTTTCTCAAAGTCAGAGTGTTTTCCTCTAGTTGCTTCTTCAAACAATCACATTAACAGCATAATCTGCATTTATTCTGTGCATACAATGTCACTCGGGCACTCGGTATTTAATGTGTGAAAACAAAAAACTGGAAACCCTGTTGGAGATCTTTTCTTGTGATTTCTTTCCTCATAAAAATCTCTTCTTACTTTTAAGAGCTACCTTGCATCATTAAAAGCACCATATGGTTATTATTTTCAAAAATAAAAATCACATGAGAATCTAGAGTTCCTACACTTGAGAAATAGCACTAGATTCTGACATCCAAGTGCTTCAGTGATCCTGAAGAAAAGTAGCTCTGAAAATAGTAATCATATTGATTCAGCTCCTGAAAAATTGTTTTCCTTCACTATCTTCAAATAAGGAAAAGATGACTGAATTCGGATGTTAAAAGGTATTTTAAAATCTGTTATACAATATAAGATGAAAGATGTTTTCCTCTCCTGCCACCTGAAAAGGTTAGAAGGTAACGGGCTTTGTATTTCAGATATTAATTCAATCATTGAACAAACACTGCACAAAATATTAAGGTGATTTTCCTGGCACTAGTATATAATACAATCAAACAATTGAATTATTAATATTTTAACTATAACACTAAAGCACCTCGCTCCAAGTAACATATGATCAAAAACCTTATTATTTCTGCTGAAACTCTCTTAGCCAGTCTACATTACAGTCAGAGAGAGAATACTTCTATTTCAGTCCTAGAAGTATTAAATGGAGCTAGCTAGCATTTGGGGAAATAGAATAGTCAAAAGATAAAACAATCTTTGCAAGGAAAAAAATAAATAAATGTTGAGTTAAGCTTTCCACAAAGTGGGGGAAACCCCCTGCTACAAATGTAAAGATTTTCCATGTGATTTACAAAATGCATCTTATCCCATTTGTAGTCTATCACTTGCATGCTGTGTTTCTGAGATAAAGTATCTTAGCCTCTAGGAATCCAGAAAACAAGGAAGGCAGTTTCCTTCACGTTTCAGCTACCAATTGGTCAGACATGTTTCATGACATTAGGATAGAAGTGTAAACCAAGTGGAAGAAGAACGGATGCTACCTTATATTTAAATGCTGTAAGAATCAGTTAAGAAAAGTTTTTTCTTAAAGACAGGGAGTAGTTTTTTAAGGAAGAAAATCATTGCACTCACTTGCTAGGGATCAGGAATGTGAGAGAATTAAAAGAAGGTAACCTGACTTTGTTTATTGGCCAGTTAACAATATAATGAGAAATACTTCGTATAGACTAGAAAGATTCACTCATTGTTTATAAAATGTTGTCTCCTCAAAACAAGAGACAGTAACATTTACAATCGTCTATAAACATAACTTCAAGTCAAGGTCTTGATAGCATTAATTATGTTTCCATAGTTACACTTAACCTCATCGAGTCACATAAAACTTGGGGGAACCCCTTTGACACAGACACTGGGATTTTTCTGCCTCTTTTATATCTATTTATGACCATTTTCAGACATCTCTAAAAGGGAGACAACATTTTATGAACACGGATATTTCAGGGAGAAAGAGAAAAGAAGGAAAGCAAAGTAAAAGGTCATCAGCAGCTGTTTGCTTTGTTTTTTGGTGGTGGCGGCATTTCACACAGAATCATGAAGGTGACCACACATCTGCAGGTGAAACTGAAGATGGAACAGGAAGGCCTCAGCCAAAAGGACAAAGACATTTGCCATCAAATAGCCTTTGTTCTGTTCCCAAACCCTCTATCATCTCTTCAAAATCGGGCGGCTTTCCTGTCTCCCTAGCAATGGCCATGGTAAGTATAGCTTGTCAATTAAACATGAAACGAAACGTAATCTTCCGCAAACAACAAGGCTAGGGGAATCTAATCGGCTGTCATGTGAGAGTATTATGGAAGATAAGACTACAGACAGCTGTTATTGCTAAAGGAGAATATAGTGAAACTGACTTATGCGTGGTATTTTTCAAGGACACTGGTGATGTTACAGTCTTTCCTTCCCAAACTCTGAGAGTCTCTCTTTATTGACTTCCTCAATTTGACAGCTAAATGTGAAGGCGTAGGGTGTTAAATTCAAATAATTGACCATATAAGGTAGGATGGGGTAGATGATAAAGATGGCAAAGGTGGAAAAACGGAGTAGATGTGGGAGACAGGACCCCTGTGCTGTGTGGACAGGAGGAAGATGGGGAACCTTCTCCAGCGCAGTCCTGCAGCAAACACACAATCCCAAGGAGGAAACACTGTCTGGGGTGCCAACTAATAGTCAGATTTGAAGAGAACCTAAAAGTTTGAGAATCCAAGTGGATCTAGAAGCTGCTATTTCCAGGGACCACTTGCTCCATTCAAACCTTGACCAAGGTGGGGGCGAGGGGCTAAGGCAGAGACCCAGCCACATCTCCTTGTGTGGGCTGGGGGCAATGCCTTGGCAAGTGGCCAAAGGACCAGCTGTCATGGTCAATGAGGCATGGTTGGGACCTGGGGAAGCACAGCCAGCGATCGAGGAAAGGAAAAAAAGCACCAGTGAGGCTGAGCGATCTTTCCGACAGGATGGTCCTCCAGTATCGCCCTTTCAATCACAGTGAACATCAGGGATAATTTCTCCACATTCAGCCCATCCTCTCAGACTGTATTCTAGAGATATAGGCAGAGACCTCTCCTTGGGGCCCTAAGAACAAAAGTAGGAAGAGATACTTTCTTTCTGAGGACACGCTGCACCTGGGTATACTCTGAGAACACACCCAGGACCAGCCTGATGATCCGGGCAAAGACCAGCAAGGCTGCAGTCAGGCCACCATGAACAGAAAGTTCCGCAGTCTATGCCCTACAGGCAGGATCCCTGGTGGGAGGGAGGAATGGGAGCTGGACCCCTTTCTGGGGGAACCTCACAGTCTCCACCTGCTTTGTGAGCCCAGAGGCCAGGCTGGCCCTTACTGCAGTATTTCCAACCTCAACATAACCCATAACCATTCCTCAGGCTCCCAGATGGGACAGCATCACACACAGACTATAGCCCCCGTGTTCTTCATCTTCATGCACATCCTCATGGGCTTCACGGAGCAACTCTATCCACTGCCGGAGTTGTGGTGCAGACATGCTGGGAGGCACATGTGCTCTTTCTCATCATCACAGATCTTTCTGCCTCAACCCACCTTCCCCCTTGTGCTCGAATGCCGGATGTCCCAGGCAGACAGGCCGGCAGGGCTCTCAGAGATGCAGCACTTGGCTCATTGGTGGCCCAGCCCCTGGATGGTGCTTTAACTTGTTTCTCAGGCATCTAGTTTATCACTCTCCTTTTGAATAATTAAGACAAGTAAAGTGTCATCCTGTTAGAGTCTCCAGCCTCCATGGTTATTCTGCCTACGATGTGCTATAGGAACAGTAGTTAGGGCAACTGAAGTCACACCTCAGTATCCTGGGGGTTGGTTTCAGGCACCCCCCCAGAGGAAACCAACCCCCACCACACTCAAGTCCCTTATATAAAACTGCCTAGTATCATTGGTCCCCCAATATCCTCAGAGACAGAGGGCCGAGTCTCTGTATTTTACTGTACAAGGTTTTTAATAAACAATCCTTGTCGTTGTTCAGCCATTCAGTCATGTCCAACTCTTTGTGACCCCATGAACTGCAGCACACCAGGCTTCCCTGTCCTTCACCATCTCCCGGACCTTGCTCAAACTCATGTCCATTGAGTCGGTGATGCCATCCAACCATCTTGTTGTCTGTCGTCCCCTTCTCCTCCTGATTTCAATCTTTCCCAGCATCACGGTCTTTTCCAATGAGTCAGTTCTTCGCATCAGGTGACCAAAGTATTGGAGCTTCAGCTTCTGCATCAGTCCTTCCAATGAATATTCAGGGTTGATTTCCTTTAGGATTGACTGATTTGATCTTGCTGTCCAAGGGACTCACAAGAGTCTTCTCCAACACCACAGTTCAAAAGCATCAATTCTTTGGCGCTCAGCCTTCTTCTCACATCCATACATGACCACTGGAAAAACCATAGCTTTGACTAGATGGACCTTTGTTGGCAAAGTAACATCTCTGCTTTTTTTTTCTGTCTAGGTTTGTCATAGCTTTTCTTCCAAGGAGCAAGCACCTTTTAATTTCAATCTTTAATAAATAAGTCTTACTGGGCACTAATGAATTTCTATGGAGAAGGTCATTTTAAAACTTACACATCAGGAAACAGGAAATACACTACCTTTTATATGCAAAACAGAGAAAACTGTGATTCTATACTAGTTCTGTATTTGCCTGCAAATGCACACAGAATTTTCGAGAGGATTTCCGAAAATGTGACAGTAGTGTGGGGTAGGGGAGAGAGGGACAAAAGACTTAGGGCAGGGGGAAGTCTTCTCAGCATAGCTTTTTGTGCTCTCTGGATTTCGAACCATGTACATGGACAATCTATTTTTTTTTTTTAAAAAACACCATTATAGGACTTCTCTGGCGGTCCAGTGGTTAGGACTCTGTGCTTCCAAGGTGGGGCATGTGTGTTCGATCCCTGGTCAGGGAACTGGGATTCCACATGCCATGTGGCACAGTGACCCCCCGAAAAAAAACAAAAACTACATTTTTAAAATGCATTTGCATTTTAAAAACGGGGGGGGCGGGGGGGAAGAGGCAGTCACCGATGTTTCCAAAGTCTTCTAGTTTCTCTCTATACTGTGGAGGCCAGTGAGTCCGGGTCTGAATTCTCCCACTTGTCTGCAAGCACAGACATGATGCAATTGGAGACCTCCTCAGTGACTTTTCCAAGATAATTCTCTCCCTTTGGAAGAGGCTTGGAGACAAAAGAATCAGACTTGATGAAGTGTTAAGGAAGTCCCAGGAGAAGAGAGAATTGATTTTTCTTCAAAAAAGCTGAATTTGGACGAATTCCAATTATCAGGAGCAGATGATAGAGTGTCCTTTAAACAGCAGCAGCATTAATTAAACACACGCTGGGATTTCAAGATGATGAGCCTTGGGACTCTGAATATGCATGTCCAGGAGTCAATCTAGAAGCTTGACCAGACCAGTTCTAATGGAATATTTCAGCACTGTAGCTGCCTGGCAAATCTGCAGAGTGATTGGATCTTCATTCTCCCATGAGAGCTCCGTTTGTCATCATCCTGCTACTCTCGCTGTCCCCGTCCATTTGGAATTGGGATGCATGGGACTTCCTAACATTTGCACACGCTTTTTGCTGGGAATCTGCTGAGAAAGTAGGGTGGGCAACACACACAAGGCCCCTTCGCTGTCTAACTCTCCAGTTTCTCGCTTTTTGCTGCCCTATTTCCAGTTCCACAGCCTTCTCCCTTCCCCAGCCTCACATCTCACAGTGTGTGTGGTGTAATGAATGGCCGGCCAGGCTGCTGACTCAGGCGAGGTCCTCGGAGAAGGTGAGAGTCCTCCTCAGGGCTCTCCCGCTCCCCCATCTCAGCCCCTGTCCGCCCCTTCGCCCCCACAGCTGCTGATCTTCCCACCAGCAGCAGCTTCCATCCTCCTCCAGAGCCAGCCCTTCTGCAGACCCAGCCTGGAACACATTCTTGTTGCCTCTTTTATCAGCAGCCAATAAACAAACCCCTAGTTGCATTTGGGCTGCCACCCAGCAGGATCAGCTAAAAAATGTAATATGGGAGATCAAAACATTCTGGGGGAGACCCAGAAGAATGAAGCTCTAACAGAGGATAACAGGCAGTGGGTTGGCCTTGGGTTACCAGAGCCTGGTAACTCCAGCATGCTGTTATTGTGCAGTCGCCCAGTCATGTCAGACTCTCTGCGACCCCATGGACCGCAGTACACCAGGCCTCCCTGCTCCTCACCATCTCCCAAAGTTTGCCCAAGGTCATGTCCATCGCATCGGTGATGCCATCCAGCCATCTCATCCTCTGACGCCCTCTTCTTCTACCCTCAATCCTTTCCAGCATCAGGGACTTTTCCAATGTGTCTGTTCACATCAGATGGCCAAAATACTGGAGTGTCAGCCTCAGCATCAATCCTTCCAATGAGTATTCAGGGCTGATTTCCCTTAAGATTGACTGGTTTGATCTCCTTTCTGTCCAAGTGACTTTCAAGAGTCTTCTCCAGCACCAGAGTTCGAGGGCATCAATTCTTCATTGCCCTGCCTTCTTCATGGTCCAGCTCTCACAACTGTATGGGACCACTGGGAAGAACACAGCCTTGACTATACAGACCTTTATCGACAGAGGTCTGGCTGACCTTTGTCAGCACAGATCTAATAGATGGTCTTGCTGCTGCTGCTAAATCATTTCAGTCGTGTCCAACTCTGTACAACCCCATAGATGGCAGCCCACCAGGCTCCCCCGTCCCTGGGATTCTCCAGGCAAGAATACCGGAGTGGGTTGCTCTTTCCTTCTCCAATGCATGAAAGTGGAAAGTGAAAGTGAAGTCGCTTAGTCGTGTCCAGCTCTTGGTGACCCCATGGACTGTAGCCTACCAAGCTCCTCTGTCCATGGGATTTTCCAGGCAATAGATGGTCTTGAGTAGATGTTTATTTAATTAATTAATTCACTGTGTCTGCACAATCTCCAAGAGAAGCATCTCAGTACAGGAGAGTGGATATCATCCGTGTGCCCCTTCAGATGCCTGTTCTACCCCTCGCCACTCTGCTTATTGCCCTGGAGACTGAGCTGTACTCACTTCATCAACAGGGCTCCCTCCTCTGACTTCCTGTTGAGTTTGAACAAGGGGAGCCCTGGAGGGAGGGATGGGAATGAAGTCAGGTTGAGCAAGCTGGCAGAATCCCTTTCCTCTGAAGGCAGTGCTCCCCCAGGCCTCTTTTCTGCCTTCCC